GATTTGTTATCACTGACAACAGGTCTCGTAGCCTGGCTTACCCCCCTAGAAGCAGCAAGAAATAGAAGCTGTTACATTTCTCATGGGTTTCATGGGCTGGCTGCCAGACATACAGAGAGAGAGAGAGAGAGAGAGAGGTTGGGAAATTTAAGCGAAGTGTAGTTTTTAAATAGGGAGAGGGAGGAGGGGTGGAACAGGAAACAGCCAGTCAGTTAATACAGCGGTACCTCGGGTTGCAAACACCTCGGGTTACAGACACTTCGGGTTACAGACTCCGCTAACCTGGAAGTAGTACCTTGGGTTAAGAACTTTACCTCAGGATGAGAACAGAAATCACGTGCTGGTGGCATGGCAGCAGCGGGAGGCTCCATTAGCTAAAGTGGTACCTCAGGTTAAGAACAGTTTCAGGTTACGAACGGACCTCCGGAACGAATTAAGTTTGTAACCAGAGGTACCACTGTATACAGGGAAGTCTGTTTCGTAAGATGTCAGCTTCAGCATTTACAGAAAATGGAACTTGAAAGTGAAAGGCCTGACTTGGCTGTTGGAAGTTTTCTTCATTCTTGAGCTGCTGTTAGGAAGACAAGAACATAACGGGGGCCTGCTGGATCAGCCCAGTGGGCCCAGCTAGTCCAGCATCCTGTTCTCACAGTGGTCAACCAGATAGCTAAGGGAAGTCCGCAAGCGGAACCTGAACACAACAGCACTATGCCCGCCTGTGGTTTCCAGCAACTGGTTTCCGGAAGCATTACTGCCTCCAACTATGGAGGTACAGCATAGCCCTCATGACTAGAAGCCAGAGATAGCCTTGCTCTGCATGAATTTGTCATTCATTCAGCCTTTAGTGGCATAATTGGACAATAAAACGTATAAAAGCCATCCATAAAATATTGATAATCCCAACATATTAAAACACATAAAACATAAAAAAGATGCAATAGCCACCATTAAGTAAAATTAGTAGTTTTAAATTTGACTTTAAAAATCTTGGCTAAATACCCTGAAACAATCTCAGTAGTTTCAGGAACATCATCCCTCAACAGATACTGGATTACAAATTTGTCTAATCCTCTCTGCCTTCTGCCTCTGTCCTATATCAGAGGACATTAGACAATCTAAAATGACTTTTTGAATCCCCCTTCCCGCCTTTTAACAATCTTATGCATTTTATATTCTGTAACTTCATTTTATTTGGAGTTGGTGGACCATAAATAGATTATACTTGGTTTGTTTTGTGGTTATCACAGGATGTAGTTTATTTAGAAATGAAGACAAATACAGTATTGGCCTGAACCTTTTAAATAATTATTTACAAGTTTTTAAAAATATGTGGAAACCCATCTCAACCTCCTGATGTCTCTGGAATAGAATTATTACTTGTTTAGTGTTTGAAACTGATGGAAGAAATGACCTGCAGACAGATGAATGACATCACCAGCAAAGGATAACTGGGAAGAAGTCATGGGAAAGTATTACCCTTTATAAAAAAATCCATTAACTACCTTGCACTTTCTTCCAAAATCAGGATATAAATACAAAAAATTGTGTTCCACTCCAAAAGGTAAGCATTTTGCAGCTCTAGCGATGCAGTCAGTTAGTGCACGGCACTTAGGATGCAGTGTTTGGTGGCACAGCAGCACTGAGTTTATGAGTTCAAGCTTACCTGAAGCAAGTGATGGGGAAGTGCTGTCACTCATTAGTAGAGCATCTGCCTAGTATACTAAAGGTCCCAGGTTCAATCTCTGCCATTTTCAGGCAGGGGTGGTGAAGGATCCATGTCTGAAACCTCAGAGCTGCTGCTGGTCAGTGTAGACAATACTCAGATCAATCGTCTGACTCGTGTGTGTGTGTGTGTGTGTGTGCGCGCACACACACACACGCGTGTAAGACTGCTTTCTATGTTGCATGGCTGAATACTCTTCCGTTAACAATCCAAGTCCCTCCAAATACAGTGGTACCTCAGGTTACAGACGCTTCAGGTTACAGACTCTGCTAACCCAGAAATAGTACTTCGCGTTAAGAACTTTGCTTCAGGATGAGAACCGAAATTGTGTGGCAGCAGTGGGAGGTCCCATTAGCTAAAGTGGTACCTAAGGTTAAGAACAGTTTCAGGTTAAGAACAGACCTCCAGAATGAATTAAGTTCTTAACCTGAGGTACCACTGTAGATTTGTTTTTGGAAGATGTCATGGCCTTTGGCTAGTGCAGTAAAAGTTTATGATGTTGATGACTAGATCATGAGCACTAAAAATTTAATTCATTTTTTAAAGGGCAAGAGTCACAGTGCAGTGGAAGAACCCTGATTCAGTTCAAGATACAGTACCACTGCGTAAGACTGGGAGTGTATCCTGTCTGAAACTCTGGAGAGCCACTTGTCAGTCAGTACAGACAATACTGAACTAAATGGACCAATGGGTCTGACTCAATATAAGGCTTCCTATGTTCCTATATTAGGGACGCGGGTGGCGCTGTGGGTAAAACCTCAGCGCCTAGGACTTGCCGATCGCATGGTCGGCAGTTTGAATCCCCGCGGTGGGGTGCGCTCCCGTCGTTCGGTCCCAGCGCCTGCCAACCTAGCAGTTCGAAAGCTTCCCCGGGTGCAAGTAGATAAATAGGGACCGCTTACTGGCGGGAAGGTAAACGGTGCTCTGTGTGCTGCGCTGGCTCGCCAGATGCAGCTTGTCACGCTGGCCACGTGACCCGGAAGTGTCTGCGGACAGCGCTGGCTCCCGGCTTATAGAGTGAGATGAGCGCACAACCCTAGAGTCTGGCAAGACTGGCCCGTACGGGCAGGGGTACCTTTACCTTTACCTATGTTCCTATATTACTAAAGCACCATAAGGCTGAAGATGAAAAATCATCATGTGCAGGCAAAGTAGAACCCCACATTTTAAACAACACTCGCCTTGCTGCATACCCTGCAGTTGTTTTCCCATCAGCCGCAGTATTTCTTCTGTGATCCTGGCCCAAAGGGGCTCATAGATGTGGAAAGCCAGCGTGAGATGGCTCCATTTTACTGTCAATTTGTAACCAGACACACACTCTCCTTTGGATGGAAATAGCAGCACAGCACTTGCTGCAAGGATAATCTACAGGCTTCTTCAAGCTGCTGGTCAGGAAAGGAGATTCCAGGATGCCTGGTGCTGCCTCCATAGTGACTCATAATGCAGCATCAGTATTGAAGCTTAGCACCACAGGTTTGAAATGCCCAGCGGAGAAGCTCAAGGAACAGTCCCTGGAGGAGCTGTGAATAGTGGGCATCAGCTTATCCAGAGTTAAGGGCTGCTGCCTCCCCAAAGAATTCCAGCATTTGCTAGAATATTTCATTGTATGCAGCACCAACCTTGATACTTCAGCATTGCTCCATGTGCCTGGTGCAACTGCACCTCCAACTGCAAGGAAGTAGTGTGTGCTTGCGCAGATCAGTCCCAAGATCTGATGTGCTGCTGCTTGTTCACTCCAGTGCTGTTACCAAAGAGGGATTCAGACAGATGTCTCCTCCTCTAATTGAAGACACCCAACACTTTGGGGGGGACGACTAGAAACATTAAATTGGTCTTTACATTTAAAGTATTTTAGAAAATGCATGTGGAAGCCGCTCGTGCTCCTGATGAAAACTGCTCCTCTGAAGCTGTTTGCAGGCCAGTGTAGGGTAGGGGCAAGGGCAACCAGGTACACTTGATACATGCCTTGGAGGGTTAAGATGGCTGTAGGGCCCTGCCAGACTTATGTTGTCAAGCCAAGAATGTGCCACAGCTCCCAGCTGACCAGAGATTTAATGGGCAAAATGGCAAGGAGCAAAATGCCCATGCCTGTCTGCATGCATTGCAAGGCTGCGATAATAAAATCTAGACCTGTGTTACTACGTACCAGTGTGTAGCGACAGGTCAGGTTAGGTGCCACCGCTGTGGTGGTGCAGCTCATGAGACTCCTGCCCCGTGCCTCAGGGAAGCTGAGTATTTCCTCCCCGTGCAAAGAGCAGCTTTGAATCCACAGTAAGGCCTTCTGCAAACAGAAGGTCTAGTGGTTGCTACTGCTTTTGAAATCAGTTGAAGAGGGAACTCTAGAGGCCAGAATGAAGTACTGCTATATTATATAGTAATGTACAATGCTTATACTATATAGCAAGGATGGGGAATTCAGCCCGAGGGCCACATTCCTCCACAGGCAGCCTTGCAGGGGCCACATGCCTGTGGTGGGTGGTGCCAAAGGCAGGAGTGGCCATAGCTACATCAAAGTCTAACTTTGCATTAGGCAATGGACACACCATATATTTAAAGCACATGATTCCCCCCCCCCCAAAAAAATAAAATCCTGGGGAATCCCAGTCTTTATATGCTTCAAATGCAGGGTGGTGCACACACATAAATCTTGGCAATTTATTTCTACACCTTGTGGTCCAGGAGACTACAAACAGGCCAAGCTGTAATGGCCTACATGCCGCCTATTAGTTAATACAGTATGAGCAACTGCCACAAGATCCCACTTGTCCAAAAGGATGAACTGCCTTGTGTTTACATAGCCTATCATACTCAAATCAGTTGCTAATTAGCTTCCTCATGCTGTCCAGATTTATATCCAGTTTACGTGGAATTGTGATCGTCCAAGAGGTTTTGTTTCTCGGACTCAACAGCATGCAACCCATTCAAGTTTTCAGAGGCCCTGTGCAATAAAACTGAGGTACTATCTGAGCCCCTGCCAGAAACTTTATCCTGGTTGATTTCTAAGGATGATGCTAATTGCCTTGGAAGATGCATCCAAGAAGCTGGTCTCCCTGCTTGTTAGAGAGAGGGACTGCTTTGGTGCTTAGGAGAACAGCAATAATGGAGGGGGCATTATGAATCATACTACCTAAGTAGAGTGCTGGTGTTTTTGGTGGCAGGTGGTCACACCCAAGATCTCAGTATCCCAGCACATGGCCAACTAAACAAGTTGCTGGCTGCAGGACCAACTACTTACAGAAAAGTTAAGATAGGAAGCACCAATAGCCATGTGGCTGCATTGAAGAGTCAAGTCATATCCAGAGTTTATTTTTCTGTTAAAAGTCAATTTGATTTCTGTATGGCCACAGACACACACACACACACACACACACACACACAACTGCCATCAGTGACATCAATTATGGAAGGGAGACATAAACTATACGTTAAGGGAAGAAAGTCACATTGCACAAAAGCTACAATTGCCTCCAGGGAAATAAACATCACCACATTGTCAGGAGCAGTAGGCACATTCACATGTATCGTTACAACCAGGTACAATGCTCATCTCAAAACACACCAAAGGGACACACAGCAACCTGGAGGGAGAGAGGGAGGAGACAGCAGCTGAGATCTGGCCGCTGGTCCACCTTCTAGATATGTATCTGCAACACCAGAGTTCCTCTGCCCCAACTGTGTGTAGATGAGGGCAAAGGCCTTGCTTGCTTGTGATATTAACACATAACGATGGCGAGGCAAAAGTATACATATTCAGATTTTGGAGGAGAACTAGAACACTTATTTCAAGAGACATGAAGAAGTAAACACCTCGGAATATATATTTTTAAAAAAGAATAAATTCTGTGCTTAACATCAGTTCTGGAATTAACAACTGATTTAATGAATGAAGCAGTTTTTATGGTTTCCTAAAACAAAGTATTTCTAGTATGAGGTGTTTTTAACTCTTTAATGGTAATATTGACTTTCTCTTCTGTTCTCTCTTCATATGCAAGAAAAGCTAAATAATCTCAATGAGAAATAGGGAGTCTTGGTTGTCAACAAGTACATGGTTCTCAGTGAATTACTGAAACATTCCCAAGAAAATTATAGCACTGCAGCAGTCTACTGTAGGTGGGTAGAAATTTGCCTGCACCCCAAAGAATTACGTTGGAAGCTGTTTCTAGTTACATTCATGTCACTTCTTGCTACTGCCAATACTTCTCCCTTCCTCAACCCAGCAAGTGTTGCTGTCTAACCTATTATTACAAGGAAGGGACTTATCTCCCAGGAAACCACTTTTAGAATGGCTCCTTTTCAGTCATCATCAAGATCTCAAAAACTGAAGACAGAAACCGGATAAAACTTAATATCAGCTTGCTTAATGAAATCACGAATAAGGTATCGACTTCAAGACATATAATCCAAAACTGCTTATGCTAAAAACCTCCCACTTAAAACAGATTGGGAAACATAACAGGGAGATATAAGTATTTTTTTAAATTTTTGCCAAACCTGCTGCTGCAGACTCTGAGCTGCACCCTTCTCAAGACTGCAGGTAACATCCCAGCCCCCACTTTCACAGCTCTGCTTCACAAAAGCGACTGTTAACACCTATTTATTTTTCACCATGTCAACATCCACTGAGAAATGTGTGCCACCTTCTGGATAGATATGGAAACATTCTCCACTTGGTTTGCTGAGACTTCCACATCCTAAACAATTCACCTTAGCTGGATGTTTTGGTGTTGTTCACATGTGCTGCATTCTACTCCAACAGAGAAGTGACGGGGAGTGGACTGGGCTGGCCTGTGGAAAGATGGCCAGAAATGCCACCAGTTTTCATTCAGAGGAGGGTAGTCCCATTGCAGATAAAGCTCCCCAGACAGCACGAGCAAACAGCTTCAGCTGCAAGACACCATGCAATGGCTTCTTTTTGTGTCTGTATTACTCCATTACCTAACAACGTCCATCAAATCAGGCAGGTAGAATTTTGTCCACATTACTAGAAATTGTAAGAGAAAGGGCCAAAACAAGTTTAAAATAAGCCAGGTTATATGATATGTTCTTGAGCTATTATCTTAAGTACCTCCTAGCTTCAAGCACATGTAACGTCCCCAAAGGCTAAAGCATGCTGAGTTTTGCACCGCCTCAACCGAGCAAGTTCTGTAACAAGCTGGCTTTCCCCCCATTTTAGCCACAGGTTGTGTCATTTCTAAGACAGGGCATAATCAAATGAAAACACTCAATAACCAGTTCTAAAGGAAAATCTTCTAAGCTGGCTACTTTACTGCAGTTGTGCAGATATCAGATATGGCAAAGCTCCCTTCCTCATTTGCTAAGCTAGGAATGAGCAGATCTCACAGAGATTCAGAGACGAAAAAAGGAAGTGGAAACCAACAAGATGTGCTTAATGCTTCTGTGTTAGTCTAGGGGCAGACTTTGCTTACCACGTGGCAACCTGAACTGAAGAGATGTCACTACTAACCAAACAGCCAAAGGCTGCATGCAAGAAAGCTTCCAGTGACCAGGTATCTGTCAGGTTAATGAGGATGCAGCACCCCCTAGAGTCCCTAGAAGAAACAGTCCTTTAATAGTCAAAACAACTATCGGCCATTTCCCTAGCTTGTTGCAATAGCTTCACTTTAAAAGACTGTGCCAAAGTTTGAGGTCAATTAGCTAATACTGCTTCAAGCTCCTCCCAGCTTGTTTTCAACACAAATAGCAACGACTCAGGAGGAAGTAGTTCAGTGTGTTGTATATCCCATAAGGGTCGTTTAGCTGCCTGAATGTACCCCCTAAAAAAAATCATGGTATCACTGATATGCAGTATCAGGAATGTAAACAGAAAAGCAGGATGGCAGCATGTCAGACAGGATGCCTTCGACAGAGCAGTGGCACTGAAGACCAAAGGGGGAAAAAGGTACTCCCAAATTACTCAGTCAGCCTTCACTTCAAACACAGCGGAATGTCAAACGAAGACTGGCTATTAGGGCAACAGCCAGCTGTAAGGTGTGTAAATGAGTGTGTGCACGCACACACACACAAAATGGTGCTTTTAACAGATTTCTCAAATCTAATAGGTTATAGAAAATAATGGCTTGGATCAAACACTCCATTTGCAGTGTGTTCTGCACATGTGCAATGGGTCTCTCTCATCCTTCCCTTTCCTACTGCAGCCCCCTGGGGATCTGGGGAAGCCTCTAGGTTGGCGTGGCACGCAGTAAGCAAGACTGCAGTTGGGAGGAGAGAAAAATCGGCAACATAATCAGTTTGGATTGCATGGGAGTCACTCTGTATCCAAGCTAACGTTAGCAGGGATTAGAAGCTTCTGCAAAAGAAGAAAAATTACACTGCTGGATAAATCCAGTCACCAACAAGCACCTGCTGACATCAGAAATGTTATCTGGCCTCATGAAGGCTCTGACACGGATAAAAGTCAACTTGGATACTTCAGTGAGGCCACCTTCTCGCTACCAAAAATATCAGGATATGCATAAAGGTGTCCAGAGGTAAGAACAGGAGGTCAAGGATAAATCGCTTAGCCAAATACAAATTGCATATGAAAAATACAATGGCTGAACAATGAGGCCCCTGCATCTATGTGAGCCCTGGAAATTAGCTTTCTAAATTACAAAAAAGGAGCCTACTGATTTTGTGGATTTATAAATAAGCTCGACTCTTGCAACTGGAGTTGTGGTCAGAATCATAAGATGCTCCACGAGCTAGCTGTTTTTGAAAGTAGGCTCTATCTCCTCAGTTGCTCATAGTGTCCTTGAAACCCCAAACCTCTATGATAGCTATCTGGAAACTTTCAGAGCACAATGGTTGGTTGTTGAAAGTGTTGCAGTGGCCAGTTCTTCCATGGTTCAGGTCTGCGTCAATGTAGAGAGCTTGACCGTCGCCTCCGCCTGTGGGGGAAAAGACCACAGTTACACTGTCCCTGCATCAAGATGCAAAGCAGTGGCTCCAATCACATGTTCAGTTCCACTACTTCTGGAGACACAGAATGACAGCTTTCAGCTGCCCCACCATGTGAATATATATTATGAGAAGACATTATCACCCCATCAAACTGCTCTACAGTTAAGAGTTCATGGATCTCTCAGAATCCAAGGTGTATACCAGTCTTTGTCAACCTGACACCCTCCAGATGTTTTGGGCAACAATATCTGGAGGGCACCATGTTGGTGAAGGCTAGCATATGCAGAGCATTCAATTATGGATATTTTAGCTTTCAGAAGAGCTTATGGTCAAGAGTCTGATGCAGAACAGATAAAATATTGCACACTGGATCTATTTGCCAAGACCATATAACATCCTGAAAGACCTCTATGGCTCCCAGTACGTTTCCAAGCACAATTCAGTGTTGGTGCTGACCTTTAAAGCCCTAAACGGCCTCAGCCCAGGATACCTGAAGGAGTGTCTCCAACCCCATCATTCAGCCCGGACACTGAGGTTCAGCTTCGAAGGCCTTCTGGTGGTTCCCTCACTGTGATAAGTGAGGTTACAGGGAACCAGGCAGAAGGCCTTCTCAGTAGTAGCGCCTGCCCTGTGGAACGCCCTCCCATCAGATGTCAAGGAAATAAACAACTATCTAACTTTTAGAAGACATCTGAAGACAGCCCTGTTTAGGGAAGTTTTTAATGTTTGATGTTTTACCACATCATCATCATCACTCTGCTGGGAGCCGCCCAGTGTGGCTGAGGAAACCCAGATAGATGGGCGGGGTGTAAATAATAAATTATTATTATAGTTCCCCCCAACTGTCAACATTGCAGGCCTAACTGCAGCTCGATGTCAAATGAAAATCATTCTCCTACTCCATCTTTCATTTTAACCCAGATTCAAAGATGATTCAGGAATAAAAGTCTTAAAAAGTGCAAACCCCTATGTGCCCCTACATAGAACTGCAAGGCGCTGTTGCAAGAGGCAGCAACAGAAGAGCACAGGCTTACCTATAATGATGCATTCCATCCCACCAGCCATAAACATGGATGCAGCTTTGGAAGGCAGGTTGAAGTGCCGGGCAGAAAGGAAGGGGGAAAGGCGGTCTGAGGGGTCCGAGGGGAGGCTGGTGGCAGATGGAGGGTCAGAAACATGGGAGGAATGGTTCCCTTGTTCAGGTCCAGTCATGGCTAGCTCTGGGTGCCTGATTATTACCCACTCATAGCGTTCCACTTCAGGCACCAGCTAGAGAGATGAGAGGAGGAGAGGAGAGATGGAGTTATGAAGGAATTCTTCAAAGAAAATGCACTGCACTTGGCGTCTCTCCCCCCCCGCGCCCCGATGGCCAGAACTTGACTCACATCCCAGGAAAGATTTTCAGAATGAATTTGCACATTCAGAATATTGTGGCAGACACTAAAAAGGGAAGTTATTATATTTATAACCTGCTGTTCCTTTAGAAAAGATCAGAGCAACTTTCAGTGGTCTCCTTGATAGGCATAAATCAAGTTTGGTATTTGTAGAGCACGGGGGGCTTTCAGATTGCTCAGCAATATATAGAGTACTTCTGGCCTACCTTTCTAGGCAGGACCTCAATGCACTAGAGAAGTGTTAAGACATTATGACAGTTATATTACACAACCTCTTCCTAACATTGCATCAGGAATCTTGCAAAATCAGGATAGATACTCAAATGTTTCATTTGGTGACCCTCTTGATTGCCACTTTAATTGTAAAGACTCGTGTGTTAAGTGAATCTGAAAAAGGTACTTACAACTAGGGATGGGGGAATATATCACTTTTCGTTTCTTGTTTCTCCCCATTCTTAAGTTCTGTTCTCCCCATTTTCACATCAGTTTGCTATTTTTTTAAAGGCCTTGTGAAAATTTATCAGCATTTTAGTGTGAATTTCTCCTAATACACATTTTTCTATGCAATATCCCATGATATAATGCATTCTTGTCTATTATTAGTAGGTTCACCTTTAAATGCAGACTGAATCCAGTTGCCTTCCAACTTCAGAGTGACACATTTGTTTTGGTAGCTCATCAACAATCCATGTGCACCGATACTACACCTGTATTGGTCCCTTGCCCCAAGCTTGAAATTCAAAATATCTACACTTCCTAGTTTGGCAACATTGCATCATACACCATGGTAGAGAAAGTGTGACACCCAACAATAATTAAGACACTTATTGCAGTAGAATATCATAACATTCAGCCTAATGAAGACTTTGGATGAACTTGGGGAAAGGTTTGCTCCATATTCATATAGATGATGATGGTTAAACTGCTGCTGCTGCTGCTAATAGCAGCAAGGTTTAGTCTTATAAACTGATTAGTAGGTTGTTCCCCAAAGGCAAGGGGTGGTTGTGGTAAGAGTAAACATGATTACTCTGTGGTACCAGAGAGGAATGGCAAGCTAAGATGATGGACCATGATGAAATGGCAAAGCTGACAGGGAAACCTCAGGAACCAAGAGGACAAAAACTTTAAAAAAGAATGGGGGAAAACTATTTATTTATTTGTTTAAGCAGATGAAAACATTGGCAGGATTTTAATCTCACTTATAATGTAACAAATACTATGGATAATATGGATGGATACAAAATATAGATTATGGAATAATATGCAGTTATAAATGTTGACAATAGGACCCATGGAGGGTATGTGGGGGGGAAGTTGTGAGATTCAGACTAATAGCTATATATGGATATGCATTTGGATTGTTATAAATTTATTTGTAAAATCAAATAAAAATGATTTTTTTTTAAAAAAAGGAGTGACCATTACTGCTTCTTACCCTGAACACAAAACATTCCCCTGTTCCAAAGAAGCTCAGCTTGTTTCCTCCTCGTTTGCGTTCATTCCAGTCTGTTGATAAATAAGCCCCACAGACCTAGGATGGAAATAGCCACCATTTTAGAGAAACAATGAAGAAGTTCGAACATTTGAAGCTGTAATGCTGAAAGGTCTCAAAGCTGGTAGATAAAGGGACACTTATAACATTTGTAGGTGTACACCTAACACACACCTTAGGTGTGAAATGCAAATCAAACATGTAAATTTGTCAACAGTAGCAACTCACAGTTGAATTTAGCAAACCAAGGTTTGCCTCTGAAGTGGCCCTGGTGTGAGAGTAGCAAGTTATATCTTTAGTTAGTCTACGGCGGTCAACCAAGATCACATTTTATGACTGCTCCTATCAGTGTCAACAGGGGCCTGGAGAGAGAATATATATGGGTCTTTCTGAATAGCTCTGCAGATGTGCAGGAGACACATATTGCAGTGTGTGCACTGTGATGAAGTCACCCCTCTGTAGTGGTAGGGGAAGAGAGTCTGTGGCAGAACACGTCAACCTGGAAAACAGGTTGAATTTCAAATTTCCCAAGAATGCAGCTAAATTGTGCTTTATTAAGCAAGCAAGGCACAAATGAGTTAGTGGAACAGGGAGAGTTCTAAGGAGTTATTTCCTTTTTTGTCTATGGCAACTACAATAATTGATGGACAGCAGTTTAGTGAATCATATGAAATTTATAAAGTGTCTACTTTATAAATAAAGCTGCTACTTGTCCTACTAACTTACCTCTTGGGCCGTTGTCTTAATCAGAAGGAGAGTTGGTTCATGTCCCTCACAATGCGAATAGAACCTGATAAAGATACATATAAAACGATGCTCCCTTAGTGAAACATCCCACTGCTGGTCTTGGTAACTGTGCACACTCTCCACACACTTTTTGCATCCACACAACACTGCCAATCAAGTCCCAGTTCATTGTCTGCCTCTTTAATCAACAATAAAAAACTGTTTGGGTGATGTGCTAAAAGACCAGACTCTAGTTCACAAAACCTTATGCCATAATAAATGTCTTAGGTTTTTTAATGCCTCAACATTCCTACAGTTAGGCCTCCCAGCTAAGGAAGAGCGAGCAAAAACCCACAGTTCTATAGCACAGCATAGTCTATGGCTCAGTTTGTCCATAACGCTAAGCAAAATCACAGTACATCACAAATGTGCAGGTTCCCAGAGAGAAGGTTGTGGCTGCTTGATTTCTGGTCCTGCTGTTGCTGCATTGCTATGAGCCAAGTCATGGTTTGGTTTGGCTTAGCACATCATCCAAATCTGGGTTCGTGGTCCATCTCCTTAAACTGTAAACCAAGAATGAATTTTGGTTACAGATTGCAGTTTGTCTGAAGTGAGACAAACCGCAAGCCCATGTTCAGATGACATGCTAAGACAAACCATGGCAACAACAGCAGGATGGCCAGGGAGGGGGAAAGCAGCTGCAATTGCCTTTCTGGGACCACACGCTTTCACACTAAGCCATGATTTGACTTAGAAAAAAGATCTATATGAGTTGATAGCACACAAACATACATTCAATGTAAAGCCAGCCTACAAACTCTGCTTGTGTCGAGGCAAGGCAAGACAAGACAACTCTAGCAACATTCATCATACATCAGAAGCAAAGCACCCTTGCCAAGAGAATTGGCCTATGATTGTTTACATCATCTTGTGGTGTACAGTACCAAAGATTCCTTTTAAAATAGTGCTGACTACATTTTACCTGCTTAAGCTGCAGCCATGTTCTGAGGTGGTGAACAGCAGCAGTGGCTGGCAAAGTGCAAAGCGCTCAGGAATCCATGACCATATGTCTCTCATCTTCTTTACATCAACTATTTCAGACGTGAAGTTCTCAGCATGAACTGCCAAGTGGACATTCTGCCTGTGGAATAACAGAAAAGTGGTGTTAAAACTGGAGTCATGGGCATTTGTTCAAAGCAACTACTGCCCAATTCGGGCCTCAACTTGTTGCCTAGGGCAAGAAAGAGTCCCTTCCTGACATCCAGAAGGCAAAGAAGCATTGCAAATTAAAACATTTCTTTCCCTTTCCCTTTGTAGATGCATTGTAAATGACTAACAAAGAAACTAGCAGAAGGGCTAGTAACTCTATGAGCAGAAAGTGGGCAACACCACACCACAGGAAAAAACAATAAAAGGGCAAAACAACTAAAGGGTTTCCAGTCGCCCACAGCTTGAAATTAGGAGGGCTTGATATCTATATTAATGCTGTGGTGTTTAGCTCTGTATAAGGGTGCAGATCTCAGCAGCCCTAAGTAGTTTTGTCAAAATAATGTTCTTAAATACAAATCAGCATTTTTACATGGATAACAGGAAGTTACTTCCTGTATTTGATTTTCATGTGAATAATCGATAGCTGTACATTTTTTTGTGTCCCCAAGGAAGAATGCAGATTTTCAAATGGTGGGAATTCTGGGAAATTTTAAAACCTACTATACCATAAGTTGTTACCTTGCAACTAGGATCAGTTTTGCCCTTTCATAGTTTCCCCACTGATTTGGTAGACATATTTACAAGCTAGCCCAATTCACCAATCAAAGCTATAGCCATTGAAAATCACCTGGAAGGTTTTGATGTAAACAGCCTTCCCCAGCCATGACTGCTGCAGTTCAAAACCAGCAGGGGACCCAGGTGATACCATTACAGAGGAAACTGTACAACCATAAATATATCCAGACCTATGTGCCACTCATGGAAATTCTCTTCCAGCTGTTGCCCAAGTATGAAAACAGACTTGAATATGGCTATATCCATGGAGTTAAAGAATCCACAGAAGGCTCAGTTGCTCCAAAGCACTGGAAGCCAGTACATAAAACAGGAGGATAACATACAAGCCAGTGACAAGGAAATATAGCCAATTCTTTTTGACAGCCAAGCTAGAGTTAAATGCAGGTTTCACAGCTTATGTCAGAGATATGCAAGAACTGTACCATGAAGCAAGCCAAACTTTGGAGTTATTATACAGTACATGCTAGGAAGAAGAGTTGAAATGCTGGCCACTTATAGTGCAAAGGCATTCTTAAAAAAAAGGGAGGGGATCCACCTGTCCATTTTATTATGGACACATCTGCATACTGTAAACCTTGCAGAAAACTAGCGGCTAATAGAATGACAGAATTGTGGAGTTGGAAGGGACCCAAAGTCATCTAGTCCAATCCCCTCCAATGCAGGAATTTCAGCTAATGAATCCCTGGCAGATGACCATCTAACCTCTTTTTAAAAATCTCCCATCACCTCCACCACCCTCCAAGGTAGCCAGTTCCATTGTTGAACATCTGCCACCAGAAAGTTTGTCGTAATGTTTAGTTGGAATCGCCTGCACATATCTAATTAAGTGAGGGAAATGGGATGCTTCTTTGTAGGTAGTTTCAAAATTTAACTGAAGTGCAGTGACAGTTTCAGAAATTGTGTGGCTGCCTTTCTGAAGCAACTCATGTTTTGTCCCTTAAACCAGAAGTTAATCAAAATGCATAGTTGACTGCATATGCTAAGGGCAGGATGTGTTCCCTTCAGCACAGATAAGCCACAGAGCCAGTTATATGTACTTCCGAAGCACTGCAGATAGGAGCCTGCATCAGAATGGCCAGCATGATATCAGCAGAGGATTATCAGGTTGTTGATTAGTCTCCTTCCAAGCATGATCTACAACTTGTGAAGGCTGCTCTGTTCAGTGTGCATGCTACAATTTATCACTAATCTCTAAGCCTTAAAACCACCAAGGCTTAGGCAGCTCAAGCTAACATGAATCTCATGTCTTGTTACCAAAGCACATGGACTGTGTACCTGTGGCAGAGTGATTAATAAACATGATGCTAACCAGTACTTTTTTTTCCTAAAAAAATTTTTTTAGGGGTGCTCTCATTTTGACTCAAGAAAATCACCATTTTATGGTTCAAATCGGGAAAAATAAATACACTAAATGGACAAAAGTACAAAGATTCACGAAATGTTTAGGGGTACACGTACCCCTGAGTCCCCACAGAAAAAAAGCACTGCTGCTAACAAGAAATTTGTTAAACGTTCACTATTGGCTTCTCAATTATGGGCTTGAATACCACATGGGCTTGTATACTTTTAAAAAGATCTTGGAAACAAGCTTAACTGAGGGTGGGGAAGAACATGCCATTCATGTTCTATGTGAAGAACATGCCATTCATCCAATTTGGGCTGCAGGCAATAGTTCCACACTTAGTCACACCTTCATATGTTGCATTTATTTTCTGTATTTGTGCATGGGCTGCAGGAAGCTCTTTTTGGTTAATGCCTTAATGCAATGAGCCATGCCCCTGATTGTCACCAGGCTACCTTAGGTGCTTTCTTCCAACTTTCCAGTACAATGTGCTTCTGTTGCTCCCAAGGTGAAAAAAAATAAGGAGGAAGGAACTGGTGTTATACAGGCAATGATTAATTGACACGTGACAGCGCACACGTGCATTGCCACAACCCAGAAGGGGCTGGAAAAAAGGCGGGAGGGTAACTGGCTTATGCGCACTCCGCCAACACGCGAGGGGGTCAGGAACATAACTTGTGCAAAGCAGTCATTGCCTGTACTAAGGGGAAGTCTGAGCAACAAAGAAGACCCGAGGGGTAACAGGAGGGATCAGGTAGGGAATCAGGATGTGAAGCCATCTGACTGTAAGGTTCAGGGAAGAAAAAAATTAGGGAGATTCAAGGGCCAGGGCTCACTGAGAGCAAGCCTGGGAGGAGATCTGGCTGTGAAAGAGGCTTGACATGTCCCAGAGCAATATGGGCCTAGGAACTTTTCCATCATTTATTTGGAAAGGCTCTCTGGAAAAATAGAGAAGGCAAATAAAGAAAGATAGTGTCATAAATAATAAAAGCAGCAAGCAGACAAAAGGAGTGCTGATAATTATATATATATATATATATATATATATATATATATAGGGACGCGGGTGGCGCTGTGGGTTAAAGCCGCAGCGCCTAGGACTTGCCGATCGAAAGGTCGGCGGTTCGAATCCCCGCGGCGGGGTGCGCTCCTGTCGCTCGGTCCCAGCGCCTGCCAACCTAGCAGTTCGAAAGCACCTTCGGGTGCAAGTAGATAAATAGGGACCGCTTACCAGCGGGAAGGTAAACGGCGTTCCGTGTGCTGCGCTGGCTCGCCAGATGCAGCTTGTCACGCTGGCCACGTGACCCGGAAGTGTCTGCGGACAGCGCTGGCCCCCGGCCTATAGAGTGAGATGGGCGCACAACCCTAGAGTCTGTCAAGACTGGCCCGTATGGGCAGGGGTACCTTTACCTTTTATTTTTATCTATATATATAATATATTATATATATATATATATATATATATATATATATATATATGTGTGTGTGTGTGTGTGTGCGCGCGCGCGCATGCGTGCACACACATGCACATATGTGACAGACCGACCAGCATATGTATGAACCAATGAAAGCAGGGAAGAGGTGGCGAGATGGAATAAAATACAAGGAACACGTAAATGTATAGGCACTATATGGAGGGACTTTACACCCACCACATGTGCTTGTCTGAATGGCAGGGAGGAGGATGACTCCCATATAGCAACCTGGCCTTAGTCCTCAAACCACCTTCAGACATATAAGTGGCAACATACAACCCTGTCAGTAAGAGTAAGGTATTTTATGCCTATATCTATGTGTATATGCCATATTTTATGCCTATATCTAAATCTGAAGAATTGCAGCCAATATACCCTTACCATAGTTAAGTGGAATTTAGATACCAGATCATCTGAATACCTCCCTAGGCACTAAACTATCTTGGGCTGTACTACTAGGGCAGGCATCCCCAAACTTGGCCCTCCAGATGTTTTGGGACTACGATTCCCATCATCCCTGACCACCGGTCCTGTTAGCTAGGGATTATGGGAGTTGTAGTCCGAAAACATCTGGAGTGCCGAGTTTGGGGATGCCTGTACTAGGGTTATTAATCTTTATTCACACAAAGCAACTTCATGTTTAACATTCTGCCTATCACTATATGGCTCAGAAGTTCTTTTAACAACAAAAGACTAGTAGCCCTACAGTATGTTAGAATAGGCTTGTGTTTCACCAGTGAAATCCTCACGACGGTGCAGAGAAATAAGGCTAGACTAGAATGCAAACCTTGTACAGCATACATGACAGCAGGACCGCTGAAAGCTCTGGAAAGACATTTGTGAATTGCAACAACTCCCCCACCCCGCTTCCCCACCATCTGATACTGCAGTAAGTACTGGCATAAGCAGCCAAGCATAAGCCGTGATAACAGCCATTAGGAAGTCAAGCCAAGGCAGAAGAGAAAAGCAAAGCGTGGAGTATTCAAATCTTGAAACCTACCTTTTTGGGGATGCAATGCTGCAAAGAGGAGGGGTGCAGCAGACAGGGAAATGACAGTACGAGACAAAAGAGAGAGAAATCAAGAAAAGTTCAGTAAATTAGAGCCTAGAGAAAAACTCAAAAGAGTAAGATTTGAAGTCAAATGAACGAGATTAAAGAACAGAAGGACACCCAACCATTGTATCATAGTTCTTCCTCCTCAATTCTCTTATCACATTTATCTTTCTATACAATGTCTCTTCACCTAACTGCTTATGACTTCTGCACTTGCCCTTCAACCTTCCCTTCTACTCTCACTCCTTATACGTGACTTCTGTTGAGATTTTCCTGTTTCACACAATGTAGAAATTGGGTCTTTAGTGCTGTGGTACTTACCCTTTGACTTGATCTGATCTGGATTATTTAATTCCATACCGCTTAATGTATTAAAAATATATCTAAGTGGTGTACAAAATATGAAGCAACAACAGACAACTTAAACAAGATATTACAAAAATACAGAGTTAACATAAAAATGGAATCCCCTTGGAAAATTGGACAGGTGCAGATTACATAATTTCAAAAACCAAACCATTTGCATGTGTGAAATGCTAAGAAATTATTTCTGAGGCTGCTAACCGAGCTTGTTGAAGCTTTACATTTTGGGCCACACAACCAGAACACAATTCCTCCAGTCAAGTTTCTGTGATTACAGAATACTAGCTGTTCTTCAGCTTATACAAAAGCACAACGTTCTCATGCCTGTCAGCCACTGGTCTTGTGCTATTTCTACTAACGATAAATGGAATATTTAGAACACTGACCCAAATCTCTGAAATGTCAATGCTTCTGACAAGAATATAGAAACTTTAAGGCTTTCACAAGCACTTGTCAGCTGAATAAGCCCCAGCGGAACATCTTAAAGGGCTCTTTCATCAAAGATGCCTCGTGCACTTAACTCTGCCCAGTTTTAGTACTTTTAGTTGTAGCCCTTTCACCCCATTTCTCTTAAGTTTGTCTTTATAGATTGTAAGCCAATGTTCAAAATTAACTGGGCGCTCAGCACTTTTTGCTACTGGCGCATGTCCATGATGCAGCCTTTCCACAGGCCACCCAAACGCAACTCACAGATCAGTTTAAAAACCTCTGCCTTAGTTCATAGTTAATACCAGTTCCATTTCCATTGTGTGTTTCTCTTTCTTGCATATTGGAGAAGTGAATTTCTGTAGGAGCAATCTACAGTCAAGCAATGTAGTTGAGGTCACAGAATTGTAGAATCACAGTACTGTAGTGTTGGAAGGGACCTGAGGGTCATCTAGTCCAACCCCCTGGGATGAATAGCCTTTCTTTGTGGTGACTGCAAGCCAGGTTTAAGGTGCCATTTGGTGTCTACCTTATCTATCTGAGTTTCTAACACTGTTGTAAGCTAGAGGTTCTGTGCCTGCTTAATATATCTTGTTTAATGATTTTAACGGTTTCTATAAATATTACAATTGTTACATCTCACAGCAGGTTGTTTTTCACTCTACCAAATATCCACACCGCTTGTGCAATAAAATACACAATTATACCCTGACAGGAGTTCTATAATCTAGGTGGGGCATCAGAAAAGGCTTTCTCCTACTTCTCCCATTAGTAGTTGAGGCTTTGCAAATGCAGAGAAGACCCTCTTCAGATCTTAATGAAGGGGGCAAGTTCATATGGGAAGTCACAGTCTCTTATATTATTTTAAGACATAATCTATTTAGAGTTTTAAAAAACATGACTAGTGCTTTGAATTAAGCATTGAAAGAGCTCCACCACTATGGTCCTTGTGAAAAATTAAAGTTCTTTAAAAGCCCAATTATCAGAAGCTGAAAAAGCAAACATACGCATGTAATTATTCGGTTAAGTTGGTACAGTCTCTATACTTTTCCACTGAGCACCCACATTATTCTGCTTTTGCAACCATATCCACTTCCCATGTAAGTCAAGAGCATTACTAGAGGAGAGGGAAAGCCTTTTACCTCTTCTGTTTGACGGTTATGCCTTTCTGCTGAAGAGCCTTCTCATTGGCCATCTGCAAAAGCTGGATCTCCTTCCGTGAAAAGAGCCGAATCGCAAAAGCTTTCTCTAACAGTTTCTCAGGAGACACTGACTTTGCAATATCCCTAACGAAAGCTCGGATGTCCTGCTGAACGTTGTCTGACTCCATAGTCTGCCCAACCCTGACTTTATGAAAGAATTTGAGAAGAGCTAGTGCAACACGGTATAGAACCTTGTAGCCCTCTACCAAGAATACATCAAAGACCCGTGCAACATAAACCAGAGGCAGTTCTCCAAAAAGCCACCGTTGCCAGTCTGAATATACTTCTAGCACATCCTTGGAAACTGCTACCATCAGCTTGTGGGCCGCCTGACAGTATTTGTTAACCAGATCGCCAAAAGTCATGCAAGACGACTCAAAAGCCAAGAACGTCTGATCAATGAAGTGCTTGGAGGAATCGTTGCAGGCAAGGATGCGGCAGACCTTCTCAAAGCACTCTGCTTCATCCCTACTGTAATGGAGGAGAAGTGCTACCACTGAAGGCAGAGCTGGGCAGAATGATATGTCCGGGAACTGGCTTGCAATGCATGAAATTATCTTCCTGACTGCCCCAATGCCTTCTGCATTCAGGCAGTAAGTGGGAACAAGGCTGTTGTCCACAAATTCTGGAAGTGGAAGACTGCCGCTGTTACGTTTGCCAGCAATTTTCACCACAATGTCCCGGTAGACGTGGGCATCTGGAGTCACTGTGCGGCAAGGGATATCATTAATCAGTTTGTGGTACACTTTGGCTCTTAAAGAGTGGTTTTTGGCCCAATATCCCTGGCGAGCCAGTTGCTTCAGGTCCTGAAATTCTGTGCTGGTCAGTTCCTTTGCATCCTGGTCCTGGATTGTAGAATCCATTTTATCCCAGTCTATAAAGCGGCTATATTCACCCATAGCTATTAAGATAGTCTTCGCAGAATGACATAAAAGCAAGTATCTTATCTGGCCCTTGGAGCACTTTCACTTTTTCCTGGAAAAGAACAAAGCACACAACAGGTTACGGCTACTTTCGTGTCAAGAACACATAAGTTGTTCCTAGCTTGTCCTGCTATTGGCAGTGGAGTGCAAGTTCCAGACTGCCTGCAAAGGGGCTTCACTCAGGTAATTAATGGCTTATTACTTTTAAACTGATGTATTTCCCTCCTCAGTGGGTTAACCTTTTCTATCTGTGCAATACACTGTTCTGTGGCTGACAACTGTAGTAAACTGAGCTGAAGAATACCCTAATTTGCCTCAAACATACCTTTCCAGCACATCTTATTTATATGGTACCAGAAAGCAGGGAGGTGGGGGGAAATTATACAGGACATCAGAAAATAAAGATGCAAATGTTACTGCCATATCAGAATCCTGTCTTTTGAGGAAGGATTTGCCACAGGAGACTACATTATCAAGCTTTTTGGGAAATGCAATGGCTTCGTGAGCATACTAGGTCATAGGCAGGAAGGGATTTTACTAGCTGTAGCCAAATAAAAACAGGAATCCTGTAGTACCTTAAAGCCTAATTAATTAATGCCATAATAAATTAGTCTTTCAAGTGCCACAGGACTCTGGTTCTTTTTGCTGTAACGAACAGGGCTAATCCTCTGGAAGATACAGCCTAACAAGTCAGGTTAACATAGGCCTGTACAATACTTGGAAGAGCAAGAGTCCAACAACAAAGTCAGGGATGTACGTTCACCATGCACATAGTTAGTCTGTCTGTATGGCAATAAATTGTTTAGTTCCAAAGTTTAAGCAGCAGTTCATAGAATCATAGAGTTGGAAGAGACCACAAGGGGCATCGAGTCCAACCCCCTGCCAAGCAGGAAACACCATCAGAGCACTCCTGACATATGGTTGTCAAGCCTCTGCTTAAAGACCTCCAAAGACTGAGACTCCACCACACTCCTTGGCAGCAAATTCCACTTTTCCAATAGGAAAGCAAATTTGCTTTTGTAAGCAGAGCTTTGGAAATTCAGTATTGGCTGTTGCATTAAGTGCTATGACAGACTTAATAAAAGACAAGTTAAGTGGTCCTCCATCACTTAAAAACCAGATAACTTTAAGAAATTAAGTGTCTATCAATATGTTTTCTATAACAGGTTACACTAATGCATGAAATACTGGCTCATGTGCCAAGAGTGGGTGTTGTCTCACTTCTGTTAAAATTCTGAACCTTTGCCTACTCTAAGGAAAACATGCTTATAAATACTGCGTATAAATAGGCATGGCAATGAGGGCAAGTCCTTGTCCAGATAAATCAAGATCTTGGTTGAATATTAATCTGGATATCTGAGATTCCACATTAGTCTCAAAATTAGTATGGTGTCAGATCAAATGATACAGCCAATGTTAGTCCTACTCACAAGTAGACCGACTAAAATTTATGACCTAACTCAGGCACATTCATTTCAATTATTCTACTCTAATACAACCCATGTCTTTAGGAAGCCCCATGCAGATATGGTTTGAAACTATATCAGGCACATGCAGAGAATCAGAACTGCATCACACATTACATGCAACACCCTATGGGTATACATAGAATATCACGTGTAGGTTCTATATCAGGGATAACTAATCTGTTGCCTTGCTGGACTACAACACCCCTATTACTGGCCATGCTGGCCAAGGCTTATGGTATTTGAATTCCAAAGGTTAGCCACCTTTATAATACATGGTTAAAGGGTTACAAGTGGGAACTGTTGCAGCATAGAGTTCTTCTGTTTAGAATTCCAGCCAGCCATGCTCTTTTCCAGAACACTCCATTCTATTCCTCCCACCCACCCACCCCCAAATAGCCCACCAGGGTGGCCCTGTGGGTAAAAGCCTCAGCGCCTAGGGCTTGCCGATCGAAAGGTCGGCGGTTCAAATCCCCGCGGCGGGGTGTGCTCCCATTGCTCGGTCCCAGCGCCTGCCAACCTAGCAGCTCGAAAGCACCCTCGGGTGCAAGTAGATAAATAGGGACCGCTTACTAGTGGGAAGGTAAACGGCGTTTCCGTGTGCGGCTCTGGCTCGCCAGAGCAGCGATGTCACGCTGGCCACGTGACCCGGAAGTGTCTCCGGACAGCGCTGGCCCCCGGCCTCTTGAGTGAGATGGGCGCACAACCCCAGAGTCTGGCAAGACTGGCCCGTACGGGCAGGGGTACCTTTACCTTTACCTTATTTCAAAAATATCTCCTCACCCCTTAAATATTTTTTCCTTAAAAAAAAATACTTCTACAAATCCAAGCCTGCCGATATCTCCCACTTGCCAGAGTTGGTGCCATCTTGGCTATGCAAGGATCCACATACAGAAGATGAGTTTACTATTAGTATACAGTTGCAATCAAAATTTCCTCTTTGGCAGAGTTCCTTTCTCTCCTGCTTCAGCATCAACAGATCAACCTGCTTGTACATTCCAGTTAAGTATACAGTACAGGGTTTACAGCAGAGCGCATAGGTGAGAATCACAGTTGTTGCCCTTGAACATTTATTTTTATCAGGCTTGAAAATAGCAGCCACCTTAAAGACAATTCATTTATGGAATGAGCTTCTGTACCTTTTGAAGTCTCAGTGTCTGTGCTCTGCAAAATGTATTCGTTTTTAAATATGCACAAAGAGTTTGACCAAAAAGCAGAACTGAGAAAAACAAAAGTAAAACCCCTGCAAACAAGAGATAGTTTGGATTTAATGGCAGAAGCCAGTTTCCAGCACTGCTGGTTCCCAACAGGTTCACTGTTTGCTGAGACAGTGTCGCTGTTGTTTTTAAAAAGGGGCTGGGATTAGGAGGCAGAATGGGAAATAATTAGTATTTTAGTCCACTGTTATGGATTAACCAACAGGGATTAAGTGTTCCTGGTAAGGTTGTCTTGAGTCACATCCCTGATTTGGTCAGATTGCCAACTGCAGACTGCTGCCTCTTTAGTAGCAACTCTCCACAACACTTTTTGCAGAAATGTGAACCCCACAGCCCCTCTTCCAAGAAAATCAAAAAACTATTTTCTATGAAGAAATCCAGGTGCTGTAACTCGATTAAATAATGCAACAACACTGGTGATTGTTTCATGTAAATTAATCTTGTTAGTCACAGGGAGGCACAAAGAACTATGATGCTCTGGTCTCTATCAGCCGTCAGATCTGAATGGATGGGAATCTGATCCTCTTCAACTGGCCTGTCTATACAGCTTAGCTGAGCCACTTCTTTTATTAGTCTCAGAAAATCCTCTTCCTCTTGGCTTTTGAGACTGCATCAGTCACAGCACCACTTTCTGGTCTACCGTTGCAACACTAAGGGCTAGAAATTTGCTGAGAAAGAAGTTGAGATTAATTTGTTGGATGAAACCAAGGTCCAGCTAGTCAGCATTCTCTTTTCTGTAGAAGTCTAATGTAAGCTTCCCAGAGAGATCTAAACAGCCCTGCTTCTAGCAATATTTGAGATCTGTACGTAGAAGTATAATTTAGCTATTAAAGTGAGTAGCTGTAGACTTAAACATAGATTCGACCATGGCAGAATGATCTGATAAAAAGCCAGGATATGCACAAGCTTTGAGCAACCTGCACACAAACCCTTTGCTCTCACTTGACTCTTCCTGCTAATGTAAACAGACCAGGAAGGCTCAGTCCATCTTGCCTGTTGCGTACAACCCAGGGACTATGGTTAATAGTTTCCAACTGAGTCAGGAAATAGAGGCCAATCGTGGTTTTTAAAGTAGCAAGCTACAGAAGAAGGGAAGAGGTGAAACCTTGATTTGTGCTCTTACCTGTAGCCCAGTCACTTGCCTGGTAACTTATTATCGCTGTTAACCAAGTTTTTATAAAAAGTCAGATCCTTAATTCATTTTGGGTCATATACACCTAATGTAGGTGCGTATCTATGGCTAATAACTTTTGTGGATTTATTTGGATGGGCAACATACCTTCTTTGGTTTGATTAAGAAGAGTAGACCATTTGGCATTCCCCCAGAGCACTCAATCAGAACCATGTTGACATTTTATACAGTAAAGTCTTTGCAACTTAGAGAACGAGGGTATCTTTTATTAGTACAAAAATACTGTAGAAGTGAAAAAGGTTAACACCCCTTCTTCCTTAATTTCTGTATTAACTCTAACATTTCTTACCATTAATGCTACAAGGACACATATTATATTCACAAATATGGGACCAGATCCACAATACCACACAGATGCCCAAATCTTTGAAGTAATACAATGAGCAGAATGAGTGTAATGGCACCTCACTTTATACAAACAGACTATTTCCAAGGGCTCCCATTCTTGTTTATATCAGCTCTTCCAGATTTCTAATAACACACACACACACACTTTTGGATGGTCAACACTTGTTCAGCAATTATTTTTGTCACAGTCTTGAATTGAGCAAGGGATGTTACTAGTGGACAAGGTAAGGTTTGTAAGTATCAATTTCATGGTATTTACACTGACGCCATTCCTTATGGGTATTGCTGTATTTAGAAGAGGGACCATTCTACTAGGGAAAGACTACTGTGGGGCCAGGATGACCAAGTTCCAAATTATTGTCATAAAGATTGTTTTTCGTGGGGGTAAAGAAAAGCTCCAAGGGATTTGCAAAGCTTCAGTTTTCTTTAAAAGAGACATGAAGAAGTCTAGACAAGTGCAGCAATAGGAAACATTAGATTTACTGAACAATAAGACATGCATTACTGGCAACAGAAACAATTCTCTCACCTCAGGAAATGTCTACCTCAGTTCATCTATGAGCATTAATGAAATACTGTTTCTGTAGTGGAATTGTCCAACACTGATGCACTGAGTTCAATGGATTGCCTTAATGAGGTTAAATGTAGTTCAATTATCTCCCTGTGAATTGCCTCAGGCTTTGTGTACATCAGCATCAGCTTCTCTCACCACTTAAACTGGGACTACAGGAATGCAGATCACAGTAACTCATGCTAACCTAGCCAGTGTTTCAGGTGACAATTGCTTCCTGATCTATTTTTCCTCTGAATCTATATACAGTGGTGCCTT